GGAGAGTAAGACTGGGCATCTGTCTTGGTACCGCCTAAAAAACATGTCCAGATGAATCACAGACCTACAGGTAAGGCGTTTAGCATCCAGCTTTGAGAAGAAAATACAGACTCTCTTAATGTCTTCAGGACAAAGACTTGTTAAGAACTATGAATCCCATTAACCAAAAAGGGAAAAGACTGAGACATTTTATCCAAGAATCCCCCTTCATTACGAAAGGCTGCTTAAAGAACATGAGAGTCATTCACGGTCGGAAGGACGTACTTGCAACGTGTGTGCTATCTGAGGACCAGGAGACAGAACTTCGTCACCGCCCTGGTTGTGCACTGGTTAAGTGCTCAGCTGCGCCCCAGCTGCTCCGTGGATGAGAGCTGAGGAGTCTGCTTCCGAACTGATTGCAGCCTTGGGACCCTATGGGGTGACTCTACTCTGTCCTATAGGCTCCCTATGAGTGAAATCCACTCAACACACATAACAAACCATATAGAACACAAAATGCATTCCTGTAAGTAAATAAGAAAAGAAGAAGAAGAAAAATGGACACAGGATCTGAAAAATCATTAAGCCAACAAAGAAAAACAGAATAAACATATGAAAAGATGGTCTACCTTAAGAGTACTCATGGAAATGTAAATTACAACTATAATGAAATACCATCTCAACCACCAGATTGATAACAACCTCGAAGTCTGACCATATTGGGTATTGGCAAGAATGGAGAACAACAAATATGTAAATAAATGTCTATATCCCCCTACAAGCTGGAATTCCCTTGCAGGCGGGGATTCAGAGCAGCTGGCGTGGCGCTTAACAGGCAGAGAGGAGAAAAGATGTCCGAAGGGCAGCAGGCAGCTGAACAGTGCCGGACTGGATTCTCTACACTTTTAAGATGGAAATAAATATGCAAATCGCCCATTTGCAACCTTCACAAATACTCAACATTCTAAACGGCCCAGATTAAATCTTTACCTGAGCTTTGTCAAAACAGCGAAATAGAAGTCCATTGTACATTTTTTCTGACACGTGCTGTAGATTTTAGTGGGCATCTTATAAAAGTTAATTCCCTGAGATTCACATTCCCTTCACCTGTGAAACCTAGAGCGAATGAAAGCCAGCCGCCTGCACTCACTTGATGGAGTTCCGGAAGTGGTCCTCAGCTGGGTTTTTCACCGTGCAACTATTTAGGAGCCACAAGTCTGCGTCTGATGCCTTGTCTGTTTGAAAGAGAAAAAAAGTGAATTCAAAAAAAACACACAAAATCACTACATTTAAATATCCAAGTGCTTACCTGGGTGGCCGTCGGACTTTAATAAGGACTTGAGGGGAGGTGGTGAAGGGAGTCCCTCAGGCAATTACAGTACTGACCTCTGAACTATGGGGAACAAACCTGGGAAATAAGTATAAACATTTCTAACCTATGCCATATTTTTTAATGTACAATATAAAAAGTGTTTTCAGGGATATGTGTGATCAGAGCACGCGGGAGCAAATGAAGGGGGAGGAAGAGAG